AAAAAAAAAAAAAAACACCAAAAAAAAAGAAAAAAACCAAAGAGTCTTTTTGGGTCTACTCCTACTACCACCTCTCTCTCTCTCTCTCTTTCTCATTCATAAATAATAATTAACAATTCACATATTGGATAGAATCTCTATAAAGACTCTTTCTAATGCTTTCAACCCAACCCAACCCCCTTCTCTCTATCTCTCTTTCTCTATCTGTTTCTCTAGCATTTCTTCTCTTTCTGGCTTCTGCAGATGAGAGATGGAGCTTGGTCTCAGCTTGGGAGATTCATCAAAACCATTTGCGTTCTTGCCAAAGAATCGAGAGCTTACCACTACCACCACCAACAACACTAGTCGAGGGTTCTGCATGACCTTGGGAATCAACTCAAATGGAAGAAGAGAACAAGAAAAAGCACAAGAACGTAGCCATCATGATTCTTCCGAGGATGATGATCGCACATCAGAGGAAACCATTAAAGCACATACAGAAGATGGTGTCGATCAAATGGTCTATCTCTCTCCTCCTGTTCAGCTTGATCTACTCCCTCTCGCTCCTGTTCCCCGTCTAACACCTTCAAATCAACAAATCTTTCCTTGGTCCTCCGATAACGGTAATCATTTGTTTCTAATCTGTATAAATAAGTGGATACATATATAAATACGCGGTGGAGTGTATATACAGCCTTATAGACTCAATTTGTGGGTTGATTCTATTTTTCTTAATTTTAATTTTTTGGATTTGGTATAGGGAGTTCGGATGGGTGTTCATCGGAAAACGTGGGATTACCGGCGGCGAGGGGCTTCGACGTGAACAGGATGCCGGCAGCAGCAGAGGAGATGTCGTCTCCGAACAGCGTGGCGTCATCGTTTCAGATGGATTTCTCTCTGTTCAGGGCCAGAAATTTAGGGAAGAGGAGGGAAGCGGAGCCTTTTGGCAACGATATGGTGGATGCTGAGAGAGCGTCCTCTAGAGCAAGCGATGACGATGAGAATGGCCTAAACAGTCGGAAGAAACTCAGACTATCCAAGGAACAGTCTGCTTATCTTGAAGAGACCTTCAAGGAACACAACACTCTCAATCCTGTAAGTCCTTCATATATATAGCTAGAGAGAGAGAGGCAAAAAGATAGTTCCTTTGGTAGTTGGGAAGTGTATTTCTGGAGTGCTATGTATAAAGAGACCTTCAAGGAGCAGCATCTTACCCTCAAATCCTGTAAGTCTTTGAGAGAGAGAGAGAGAGAGAGAGAGAGAGAGAGAGAGACAGAAGGGGGGCAGAAAGATAGTTCCTTTGGGAGTTGGGCTCTGTATTTGTGGATTGTTATGTGTATTATCAATGTGTGTGTGTTTGTTTTCTGATTATGTTTTTGGGTTTTTGGATTGACATAGAAACAAAAGCTTGCACTTGCAAAACAGCTTAATCTTCGACCTCGCCAAGTTGAAGTCTGGTTTCAGAACAGAAGAGCAAGGTATGTCTAACTAACGTATGTACTTGGTTTGTTGCGTTCATCAATTTAAGGTTCTAAGTGTTTGACAGCCGGATTATATCTTTATATATGAATTGACAATCTTGTGTTTGTGTGTGTGAACACAGGACTAAGTTGAAGCAAACGGAAGTGGACTGTGAGTACTTGAAGAGGTGTTGTGAAACACTGACAGAAGAAAACAGGAGGCTACACAAGGAGCTCCAAGAACTCAGAGCTTTGAAGGCATCAAACCCATTTTACATGCAACTTCCGGCGACCACCCTCACCATGTGCCCTTCTTGTGAACGCGTTGCCACCACCTCCACCGCCCCTCACAACCCCACCACCACCACCCCAACCACCAAAACAGCCACTGATTCTACCCCCAAAGCCACCCCTTTCCCCCTCTCTAGGCCCAGGTTCTACCCATTCCCCAACACCACCGCAACTCATCCACACAAATCTTCAGCCTCGGAAATGAGAGAGTCAGGGTGTTGAGTAAAAGAAACCAGTCAAACCCAATCCTTAAAACTTCGTCAAAAAATGGAAAAGGGTCTGTGTAAATACTGGAGCTTTGAGTGTCTGATTTAGCTTGTGTTTGTTAGAAGCTTAAGGGCTTTGTTTGATGTTTTGGTGGTTCGTTTTCATTGTGGTGGAATATTTTTAGCTACTTAGTGAATTTTGTGGGGATACGATTAGACACTTTAGTTTTGAGAAAAATCAGAAGGAAAAGGTAGGAGAGAGAGAGAGAGAGGAAAAGCAGTAGATTAGAAGAAATTCCCTTGTTTCCCTTCTTTTTCTTGGAAAGAAAATACAGGAAAATCTTCATGTAAATATTATTTATTTATTTGATTATTATTATAATGTTGATTATTTATGTTTTTTTGGGTGTTTGGGAAATGAAAAGGTTTCTTGGTTTGATATTAATTTTTGTCCGGAGTTCAAGGCTCTTGCTTTATGCATTGGGAGACTATTTGTGTCTTCAATGGCCCTTTTTAATGATGTAGGCGTGTGTGGATTTGTTTGAGTGGGGTGGGGAGTGGGGGATGGGGTTGTGGATTCATGGGAAAGACTGACTGGGGACAAAGATGGGATATTGGTGAATGTGTCTGCTAAAGTGGGGTATCCTTTATGACCCCTCAATTATGAGGACACGAGGCAAGTACAAAGTTCCATTATTGAATTGAATTGAATGAATTCTAACTTTGCCAGGCACTTTACCTCTCACGAGGAATGAATGTTTCTACTTACAGTTTCTTTGTTATTTAAAATGAAAGGTTAATTACACTTTATCCCCTCACATTATGAGGTTTGTATCACCCTTCTCTTTATGTTTTTTCATATTGCGCATACTTTAGTTTTGCCCCTGAACTATATGATTTTGTTTACTCTCACTCGAACTGTTGGCATTTTATGTTTCAAAAGATAACAAAAAATTTGCGTTCAAACTTAACTCACGTAATTGTGGCAGCAATGTATGAAATTTGATAGTGGAGTGGCAAAGTGATACAATTTTCATAGAAGTTGAACATGAGCAAGAATGAGCAGGGATGTCAGTGGACCGAAATGGAGGCGAGAGATGTTGTCTTCATTCCCATACCCGCTTAAAAAACAATCATACATTTGCGGTTCACCCCTGCTAACGGGTATAATTTTTAAAGGGTAAATTATAAGGGGTACACCAAATTAAACTTATTTGGAAAAAGTATACACTAAAAAATGTAAAGTTATTAAATCTTTTATTTTAATATTTATTTGTATATAAGTACACAATTTGAATTTGTCTAATTTTTTTGTGACATTTTTGTCTTCCATTGATCCGTGTGTATGTTCTTTGGAAAGTGGTGTATTAAATATCTCCTAGTTTTATGAGAGAACTTTAGTATATAATGCACCTTAATTCATGTGTATTTGATATATATTTATATATGTGTATATATATAATTGTATATACTTAAATACATATATATATATATATATATATTAACAAATACATATATACGTATTTGTGTGTATATATATATATACATGTAAAGTGTAACATTAAAAATATAAAATGTAAAATATTATGTTATGTCTCACATTTCTTAATGGAAAGTGTAAAGTATTATTGGAGAATATTGAAAATAACAATAACAGTGTAGTAATAACAATGTAACAAGCTATTTACACAAGATAAGGGGAAACATTACTTAAAGTGTTACATAAACAGAATATGCATATCTCTTCTTACACTAAAAATGCTAATTAATTGAGAAAATGTGAAAATGTTACACTTTCAATGTTAACATGTAACATTTTACACTTTTTATTAAGGGAAAACATAAGATAATATTTTACACTTTACACGTATATATATATACACACAAGTATAAATATAAATATATATACGTATTTATATATACTTGTTTATATATATATATATATTAACAAATACACATGAATCAATATGTATTAAATATTAAAGTTCTCCTATAAAATTAGGAGATATTTAATGCACCACTTTCCCTAAAATGGGTATTTATGTCTTTGTATCTAACTAATGTACCTTTTTTCAAAATATTTTTTAATATGTACTTTTTGTCAAATAAGTTTAATTAGGTGTACCGACTTTCAAAAATCCTATTTTTATTCTCATTCTCGTCCGCGGGTAAATTTCTAATCCCCGTCCTCGTTTCCCTCGTACCTGTCCAATCCCAATCCCAAACATAAGCCCAAGCTCCAGCCCGAACCTAAGCCTAAGCCTAAGTTCAAGTCAACATAATTCAAAATTCTAAATAAATTCAACATTTTAAATAATACCTCACTCTGAACAAGAAATGGATCACAAGATGATATCAAGGAAGCACAAACATTGAAATTTTGAGTCACGAAATTAACCAACAGAGAATCAAAACTCATACTTTGGCCAAGTTTTATCACTGACAACTAAAATTACAAAGTGTTCAGAAAGTTACTTGTAAGAATTATGAGTTTATTTATATATATTTAACGGGTAACGGGTAACGGGGACGGGGCGGGGTGGGAGTAAGAGTAAGTCCATCCTTGCACGGGTTTATATAGGTATTCCCGTATACGTTCACCATCCAATACGTATAGTCCATCCCTAGTCCAAACAAGGTAAGTTTAGACGAATACTCGTTTTTTTCCAGTCCACTGTCATCCCTAGACACGAGAGTAGGATTGTTAAATGAAGTACATTCACACGTATTAGGTATAACTGGTGCATAAAGATACGATAGAATATAAAATTCGAATCTCTAAAAATTGACCCCATTATATGAAATAATAATATTTTTTTATTTATTTGATTATATCATTTAAAATTTATTTTTACTCATTATTTTTTTAAAAATATTGACAATTTTCTTAAAATACGTAATCTGACAAATTTTTTTTAACATGTATATTGTATCATGTATGGATAACATCTGAAATAAAAATTATATTAAATTATAAATTGATCAAATATTAAATTATTGAACATATGATCTAAATGAGTGTTGTAACGTTTTTTGGGGGAAAATAGGTAAGGGATAAAAATTCAAGTTGTTAGGTATTTTATTATATAGATTATTATAGTATATCTGTTACATTATATTAAAATTTGTTGGTTTTTTTTACTTATTTATCAAAAAAATATTTAAAATTTTATATTTATACTATATTATATTATAAAAATAATCTTATACCTGAAGACACTCGATAATACTATAGTAAAATATTTATATTTTAAATAATAATTTATTTTTTAATTACATAATTTAAAATTAAAGTGAAAAAGAGAGAAAATAAGATAGGTAAATGCCAAAAAAAAGGAGATTATTTGACATTGGGGAGTGTGTTGGGGGTGATTGAGTTGTTTGATATTGGAGACCATGCACAAAAGTTATTTCTAAGCAAAAAAAAAGTTTCAAGATAAATTTTATACAATTAAATCAAAATAGATGAAGATTGAATCAAACTTGATAATTGTAGTGTTTTTATAAGTTGAAAATTCAACTTTCTAATTATAATATTAGATTAACAAGCAATAACTCATGCTTAAAGACACTAGATAACACAAATAAATTGAACATTAGTCGTGTAGTATAAATATATGAAATAATAATTTATTTTTTCTTCATTTTTTATAATTTCACAATTCAAAGTCAATTTAGGGGTGTCTAGAATTTTCAAATTTGGGAAAATTTGACTTTGATTATCGTGAAGGGATAAGGGTTGAATGAAATTTTCAAGTTTGAGGGAAAAATTTGTTGGTGATGATTTTGAGCCTTTAGATTAAATGAATTTTAGTCACTCGTATATTTGAGCTAAATTAAGAAATTTAAAATGAGTCATGTTTTATTATATAAACTAGCAATAACTTGTGCTTGAAGACACTGTAAAACACAAATAAATCGAACATCAGTCATGTAGTATAAATATATGAAAAAAAAATTATTTTTTATTCCTTTTTTATAATTACACATTTCAAAATTAATCTTGTCCCACTATTTTTAAAAAAAAAAATTGAGAGAGAAAAGGAAGAGATATGAGAGATAAGACTTTATTTGACTTTGGCTAGCATGAAAAGTTATGTGGCAAGTATAATTCTCAACTTTGGGGAGAATGTGTCCTTGATTAGCATGAAAAAATATGAGGTAGATAAAATTTTTAATTTTGGGGGGAATTTGGCCTTGAAAAAGATAAATGCTATTTGTACTTAATTTAATAATTTTTTTTTGTTAAAATGATGAATCATAGTCATTAAATTGATAGAAGTCCTAACTAATAATAAAATTCACTGTCAATCTAATGACAAATAATAATAAAAATCAACAAATAAGGCCCATGTAACATTGCTCCTTGAAAAGGTATGAGGTGGTTTGGGAGAAAGTTTTTTGGTGATGATTTTAATTTGTTGTATTGAGTGAATCTCAGCCACTCNGCTATTTGTACTTAATTTAATAATTTTTTTTTGTTAAAATGATGAATCATAGTCATTGAATTGATAGAAGTCCTAACTAATAATAAAATTCACTGTCAATCCAATGACAAATAATAATAAAAATCAACAAATAAGGCCCATGTAACATTGCTCCTTGAAAATGTATGAGGTGGTTTGGGAGAAAGTTTTTTGGTGATGATTTTAATTTGTTGTATTGAGTGAATCTCAGCCACTTTTGTATTAAGCAAAGTTAAGAGATTCAAAATGAATCATATTACATCTACATATGAAATTGTATGACATACCCTAGAATTTTAGTGATGGGTTTGGTGAAAATTCTCTCATCTTTTTGTCACAGCTACTCCTGTCTAAACTTAAGACATGGCTCAAAGTAGTTTGGATAAAAATGTCACATTGATTGATCGAAGCTAATATAAGGTCCACAACCGGTGTTCTAAATATCAAGGGAATCACTATGATGTGAGTTGTGACCACTCATTTCGGATTGAACGATTTTTGGTTGACATTCAAATTGTTAGTCCACCTATATTTATATAATATGACAGTTAATAAGTTAAATTCTTAATTTATAAAAGTATAATAATGGTCAAGATTAATTAAATTTTTATACAAAATTTATTCTAAATTTCTTTTCTGTCCAAAAATATTATCTCTATACGATCTCCAATGTCAGATCAGACAACTGAATAAACACACTCTCCAATATCAACAATCACATTAATCAACACTTACCCTTTTCTTCATTTTAATTTTAAATTACGTAATTACAAAATTAAATTATTATTTAAAATATAAATATTGCAAGATCAGTTCGATTTTTTATATTGTATAATATCTTTACACAAGGGATTATTGCTAATTTTTTTACAAAGCAAGTCAGTTGCAACCACAAGTCTTGAATGTAATTGATGACTTATGTATACAAACATTTGTTTGGGACAGAAGCT